TTTTTTTTTTTTTTTTTTTTCTCCCCTACGAACGAGCTACGGGGGAGCATAGTTTTGAGAAGGTTCCACCAGGGCTTCATTAGCGAAACAGTTCAATCAATGGAGGGATCGTTCGTGCGTGACGATCCTTTATTTTCGTTTTCCTTTTTTTTTTTTTTCTATTTTTTAGAAAGAGAAAGAGAGGGATGCTTCAATGGCTTTGAACGAGCTTGCCTGGAGGATTTATTTGAACGTAGTTAGATCTATTATTCGAATAAAATAACAACTTGAGACACAATTATTTGAATGTTAACCGAGCTCAAACTTAAAGAATTATTGTTATTTAATTTTACGACGTTGTCCAATTTATTTTGTATCATACTTGCCTAATTGATTGTATGTTATTATTTAATAATACGTAGCCTTGTTTTACTCGGTTAGAAATTTATTTTTAAAATACCTAGAAATAATTGGATAGAGATGATTCATTCACTTCAAATAATAGTTCAATTTGTAGCATATTTCATTACAGTTTACTGTACTGTATATTTAGTTTATTATATATTATTATTTAATGATATATCATCTTATTTGATGTTATCTTCAAACGATTATTTTTAAATATCTTAAAAATAGTCAGCAGAAGTGATCTCTCTCATTATTATTAAAATTTTCTCAATCCTGTATGATCGATCCAGTCAGGATGAAGAATATTATCTTTGATTAATGCTTCGATTGATGTCTTGATACGATCTAGCTGATACTAACAACACAGTTTCCATTTCCATCATTTCAAGATTCTGTTTCAAGTGTCTATGAATGATCGTTTGCCGCGGGATTATTTCTTGTTCGAACTACGCGGAAGTTAATAATCGATTCTATCGATTCTATTGATCGCTTTCTTCCTCTGAAAGAGGTTACTTTAAACAACCACTTTGTTTATGTAATGACTCTTCGTCGTGTACGAACAATGGAGTTATTTTATCAGAGTTAATGGCCAATGATTGCGTCTGTTCAACATTTCACTTGCAATTTTCTTCGCGATCCATTCCGTCCCTTCAAATTGTTATTTCTCCTTCTATTTAAACTACTAACTTCAATTTTATGAGATTGGACTTGTAGAGTACTTACTAAAGTATTTATAGAACGATGACGAACTACAAGAAATTCTCCTTATTTTATTTTACAACATCTCGATGTATAATGCAATATATGCAATATATACTGCTTATTTCTTTTACTATATCTTCTCATTTATTCTAAGAAATTTTTTTGATATAATTATAAAGAAAGATTTATAAAATTAATGAACTTGAATAAGTATATGTTTTGAATACATATTATAGAAATAAAATTTTCTATTAATTTTTACAAACTAAATATTATTATAATTCCTTTAACTATATATATATAAATTAAATAATAAATTGATAATACTAATAGTTCCATTCAGCACATATATATTAAGTAATCATAACGAATTCGGACCAATACTCCACAAATTATCACTAAATTAGTCAGGTTAAATATATTAATAATTATGAATAAGGGACTTCATATTCTGATAAAAAAAATCAGAGTAAATAATCTTCTATAGTATTCCAAATTGAATCCTGATACTAGTTCAGATTCTCCCTCAATTAGATCAAATGGTACGCGATTTAGGTCAATTAGTATACTTAAAATAAAGGAGCATGTATCGCAACGAACCATTTCTTTGTAAACCACAACGTTAAGTATTAAATTTGTAAAAATCATGAATAAATCTCGAGTCATAAATATATTATAAATTACAAGTTTTTTTATAATCGAAAGGTCGAATATCGCACACTATTCGCGAAACTCGAATTAACAGTGACGTACAAATAATTTTTCTGCTGCACTTAAAAAAAGAATTAATCTGCAAGTCGCAGTGGCGTTTATGCGAGCTGTCCCTTTCCGTTCAACGTCCTCAGCTCTCGATGTTGAAGAAACGACCATCGGCTGCGTACAATTACTGCTCGTTCCCTCGAGGCTTAACCGGTAATGTGATTTATAAATTCGAGGACGCCACTCCTAAGTCATCCCCCCGTCTACACGTTCCCTCTTCAACCCCCTGCCCTTCGTGGTAATAGATTTTCTAATTACATTCAATTAACATTCTTCTCGAACGTGCATTACGTCGCGTTCTATCGACCGTGTCGTATGCGCTTCCGTATCTTCCGCCGAAGCAAGAAGTCGTTAAACTCGATCGATCGATCGAATATCATCGTTACACTCTAATTAAACGGCGCAACACCCTTGCTTCCCCTTGCGAATCTTTCATCGCTCTCCTCTCATCTTTCTGTCCTCGTCGTTCATTAAAATGCGCACAGTTGCTGGCGAAAGTGTTTGAACGCTCGCGTGGGAAACTTCCGACGAATATATTATATATTACATTGTGTTGTTATATCATATTGATGTGATCGATTGGTCGAATTCGAATCTAAAAAATAGAAAAAAGAGAAAAAAAAAAATTACAACACGCTTGACGCGAGTATCAAAACAGTCGGTTGTATTAATAAGCTTGGATCTTTAACACTGGTTTCAAGTTTAAGCTGTTCACT